ACTTGAATTAAGTTTGAGACAATGTATACAGTAGATGAGAATGCCTTATATTTATACAATTAATGTAATAAACAATGTGCAATCAGAATCTAATTGATTTATTTTTTTTCAGACTTATCCACATCTTAATTCTTTTTCTTTATATTATTCACTTTAAATTAAAATTTTAACAGTGTAACTGAAGGTAAAAAAATAAACAAAAGTAAATATGAAAAACTAATCGTGTCAGATTCATAAGAAATTAGTTGGGATGATATTATTAACGTGTATATCCAATTCTTTGTATAAATTGCTTTCTTTTACATGTATTTTTTGATAAAAGATGCTGGTCGTGTACTTAAAATAATTTAAAAATGTCATAAAAAGGCTGTCTGATTAAACAGTCACTTTATAACAACCATTTTGCAAGAAACAGTTTACAAACACTTCAACCATTCCTTGTAGGTTTTTAGAAAGGTTTTGTCATAAAATGGTCATTATAAAGTAACTCCATTTAATCAGATTTTTATGTTTTTGTGATATTTAAATTCTTATATACTTATAATACAATAATTTTTCATTACTTTATCATTCTAAAATCAGTGCTTTAGAAGAGATCTAAAGCTGAGAGATTTCATAAACATTGTTTGAGCTAATAAGAAATTCTTTTTATTATTTGTAAGATGTCAAAAATTACTTTAAATTAGGCCTACTATAATTTTTAAGAATTTCACACAATTAAATATGTATTTTAAATGAAAGAAAAAATAATTAAAATCTAGATAATAAGTTTTGTCCCAGATAAGATCTGAACCACATCTCCCTGTAATATAGTAAGTGCCTCTTATATAAAGCTGTAGTTCTGCTTGTTGATTTGAATAATTATAGTTAACAATGAAATTTTCTTCTTTTAACAATACTGTATTTTTAAAAATTAAAGAAATTTATTAAATCAATATATATATAGATTTAATAAATACATACATATATATATGTATTTGCAAGTATGTGCAAAGGAAATACTAATCATCCTCAAATAACTGCACATTAAACTGTGTGGCTACGTTCTAAACAAAAAAATATGGCAATTCAAAATTTTATTACAGACTGTAATATATATATATATAGGATGATTTAGAACTTCTGTATCAAACTGTATGGCATGATAGATCTTGCAGAGAGGAACATTTCATGTGCAGCAACCCATGTGCTATGAGCATTGTTTAAGAGATACACAACAGCACAGACAAGTCATAAGTGACAGATAGAGGTGACAGATAGGATGCAGAAAACTTGTTTTTTCTAATCTCTCTGTAACATGATTAAATCATATCAGTGAGCTTGACAGTATCATCATCCATCCCTGATTATCTGCACAACTGAACTGTATGATGTAATGCATCAACAGAGTTATCTGTGGCACCACACTCACCATGCGTGATACACTTTCAACAGGGACATAACTCTGTTGGCAGTGTAATATGCATGGCAAGAAATATTTTGCGTAGCAATCTATATTCTCTGAAACATTGTTTGGCAGCTACACAAAGCTGCCAAACAATGTTTCAGAGAATACAGATTGCTACACGAAATATTTCTCTCTAAGAGATCTAATATGCTGCAGTTTGCTGTAAAGGTCCTGAATTATCCTGTATTATAGCTGTATAGATGTTGGCGATGATGGTATATCATATTGTTTTAGATTTGCTTGAAAATAATGATTTGATAATTTACAGTAGTTTTCACTTGCATTATTATAATACAGGGTGTCCCAAAAAATGTATACACACTTTAAAGAATTATAAGGTCAGTGTTCATTAAAATACATTTCATTTTCAAAATGTAATAGAATCTACAAACATTATTTAATTGTTTTGTCAATGCCTGTTTTCAAATTGACGTCCATTCTGGTCCAGGCACTGCTGACAATGCAAAGCAATGGAACCGCAAACATCATAAAGCATTTCGTTTGGCATTTGTGTGCATTCTCGTTCAATGGCTGCTCTCAGTTCAGCAACTGTTGCAGGTTTCATAGTATAGACTTTGTCTTTTAAGTATCCTAAAAAAAGTCTAAGTGGTGTGAGGTCTGGTGAATGCAGAGGGTATTCTACAAAACCCCTTTGTCCAATCCACCTGTTTGGCAAGTTTTCTTCAAGGTAGGATCTAATATTGTGATGGTAGTTTGGGAGTGCCCCATCTTTAAACTTTCCTCTAATTCGTGTGATTGTAAGTTGCATTGGTGGATCTGTTTAAAACTCCCTCCTAAACTGTCTTTGCACTTCAACAGCAAACTTCCAGTAGCAGAATTAGAATGAATTTCCTTTGTTCAAAGCTTAGTCTGGCTTCCATTATTAATTCTAATGGGTTTAATGTGGAAGTAAAAAAAAAATCATCAATTGAGCTGTCAGCTGTTAAAGTGTATATATATATATTTTTGGGACACCCTATATATCATAATTTAGGCTAGAGATAGCAAAACTATAGTATTCATGTCCAAAATTTTACTTCAAAAAAATTATTTTGATAAATACTGCTCATATCATCTCATTTATTTTTATAATATGATGTTTACAATAATTATTAATAATTATAAATTGTCTATTCAAATTAATGTGGTTTCCTCTTATTATAACTCTTCAATATTTGATATTGACGAATTATAACAACCACATTAACATGAAAACACACATAAAAACCACATTAATTTGAGTATTCAATTTACAGTTACACTCTCCCTTCTGAGTTCATTTTCAGGTGGATCTTCTCCATTTGCTGGTTTCCTACTAAAAAGATGTTTAAATTTAGATTATTGAAGTGTACATTAAGTTTTTAGAGTTACTCTATATTAATTTGATAGCTGTCAGTTAAATATTATACAGTGAGTTTGATATTTCATGACCTTGCATAATTTTTATATTATTATTTACTGTAATTAATTAACTGTAAATTTTAAAAATTAACAAAAATGANGTATGACTGTTCTCTTTTATTAAGTAATTTCTAATCTACATTATTGAAAAATAAAGTACTGTAATTTTTATATAACTGGTGTGTAAAATGTATTTAGGTGTGAATTCTCATATGTATCCTTTGTTTCTGTTAATATCAACAGAATATCTCATTTAAATTTTTATTTTGTGTTAATCAAGTTTCAGCTTTATGGATTGTATTGAATAAATATCATAATATAATTAAAATGTTGTACTTATTAATTGAATTTCAGGAACTCTATAATATTCTAAATAAATAAAATATTCATTAATTATATCCTGATTGTGTACATTTTTGTATTTGAGAACTGAGTTAAATCATTCACTATATCAGAAATCTACTGTATATTGTTCTTTGTATACTTTACAAAGTATAGCTTAAATTGGACCGATAATATTCATGTCTTAGTAAGTCTTGTATAGATTCATAATCAAATTTAATGTAAATATATAAATTATTAATTTGTATCTGATTTACACTAATAAGTTCATATTAAATTTGATACGTGATCAACAGATTTGTAATATATTATCTCTTTGACATATTAAGAAATGAGTTTTACAAATATGTTTTCTTTTATGTTAAATTTTTAGTTAACTTTACAATTTTTGTTTGTATTAAAGTCAAGATATATGTTTGTATACATATACATGTATATGTATATGTATAAGCAGTATCTGCAAGTTCAAGTTCTGCTCCAGGCCGCTATTTCAAATCCAGAACATTCTAAATTAATTAATAAATATTAATTTAATTTTAATTATTAAATTTAATAAGAGATAGTGCCTAATACCTACCCCTAGACCAAATTACTTAGCATTTAATTACACAGATGTGCAAAAAAAAATTTTTTTTTCCAGCTGCATGGAATATTTTTGCNTTAATTTTAATTATTAAATTTAATAAGAGATAGCACTTAATGTCTATCTATAGGACAAATTATTTAGCATTTAATTATTAATAGTAGTAGAAATATATTGCAATCTAATCTGGCAATCATTTGGCATTGACGAATATTTTTTTAAATCTTTAAATTGTTAATTAAAAAAATCTGAATTTGTATTTATTTTTGTGTGTAAAATGCAGCTGCTTTTGAGTGATGTCTATAATGTTTAAGCTTAAAAGATGTCTTTCATCTTCCATAATTATACACTCGTAAGCAGTTTTTATTCCCCCTGTGAATAAACTGTTGAAACCAACTTAATAACATTACAAATTTATAAAATTTAAAAAAACTTATTCATGCTGATTTCATAAAGATTTCAAAAAATGAATTTTTCAGTTTGACAAAACAGTTCTGTAACAGTAGGGAGGATAGAAATTTACTTATAGCAGGTGTTCTAACAATGAAAGGTCCATTCTATGTAGAAGCTTCCACCTGTCGATAAATACACATGATGAATTTGGTATCAGGGATAAAATTAACTTTTTCACTTCATTTTTATTGTAGATACTGTGGCCAGTTTCTTAAATTTATCACAAGGAAAGATCTGTTGTGTGCATGTGTAATTTTTACTGTTTTTGTTGAAATAAAAGACAATTTTTGAAGTCTTATTAAAATGTTTAATAGCTTATATCTAATCACTGTTATTAATGTTTATCTTTACATTTGATGTTGCAGGATTTAATCTTTCTTGATAATTTTAGATTTTTTTAAGATAGCATCTATCTGGAAGAAGACAAACTAGTATCTGATGCTTGCCACATTGTTACTACTTTCATAATTGTGGTTGAAAAAGTGGTTGGATCTATTCATTCATTGATTTATGTACCTTATGGTCTCTAAGGAGAATACTTTTATAATATACAAAATGGTCCAAAAGTCATTTAACTGAGAAAACTGACTTTTGAGTTACAATATGCATAAGAATAAATTTTAATTTATTTTGTTTTGTTTTTTTTTAATGTATTTTTATTTATTCAAGTTTGATATCATTTACAATTGATTTTCTTTTTGTTATTTTGGAGGAAAAATATTAAGCAATAATATTAATGAATTGATAATTAATATTTACTTTTTATTTTTTTAGCAATGACTTTCAAATGGGATCTGTAATGATCAATATAATTTTTGAAGATGAATCCTCGCCTCAAAGGATTATTCGATGACTTGGGGAAACCGACACTCAGAGGGGTTCGTAAATGCCCAAAATGCGGTACTTACAATGGAACTAGAGGTCTGAGTTGTAAAAATAAGTCATGTGATGTTGTTTTCAAAGAAACCAGTGACAGAAGAAAGAATTCAAGTTCCGACGCAGTCAAAATCATCACGGGTTCAACGGCACAAGTTTATTCAGTCAGAATCCGTGACAGGGGTCCTGAGTACAGAGGTTTCGTTCAGTTACCTATACTGCAAGAATTGGACAGTTTGCAAGACCAGTCTATGGAAGCATCTCTTATCACTCAACCTCCGCCACGTTGTTTTGTCGAAACATGCCATAAGTCAGACATAAACATCAATCCTTGCCAACATATAAAAGCTTCTGTGAATTGTGATTTGGAAGCACAACCATTATCTTTAAAGAACTGTGTGTTGAATTCCTTGCCAATTTCTTCTGAAACAAAACAAGCAATATGGTTACTTGCGACTGAAACTACAGGTCCACTTGTACAAAGGGTGTCTAAACATGTTATGGTTGTTAAATGTAAACCAAATATCAAACATCCTCTAGGATTTCTGCATTTCTCATTTTTGGAAGTGACAAGAAAGAGAGTCAATCCAGAATATAGGTTTCAGTGTACTTGTAGAGCTTTTAAGGTTAATTGAAAATATTTTTATTTAATATAAATAATTTTGCCAGAAAATTAAATTAAATTAAATATTTTTTCAGAATTTCAAATTAAGTTTAGCCAAAGATGAAGTGCAGAAGAGATGTGTACATTTTTATGCTTGTATCTGTGCTTTTGCCAGTGATGAAAAACTTTCAAAAGAGTTTGCATTTTTTATAAACTTGGAATCTAACAGTTAGTAGATATTTATAAAAATTTTAATACTTTCAGATATTCTTATAACAGTAACTTTATTCATTGATCTATTTATTTTATTATCAGTTGCCCCAGAAAACAAATTAATTGCTATTTTTAACGACACTCAAGACCAATGCAAAGTTGATATTGAAGTATTACCTGATGCAGAAACTCTCTTAACAGTAGCAACTGAGGCTGTAACATCAGGAATCGAAGTAAAACCTGCAAAAAAACAAAAGAAAGATGATAACAAAAGTAAGTATTTTTAGTTTCTGTTAATATCTTTAAAGCAAGAGTCCTAGTCATACAAAGCCACTACAAATGAACAAAATGAACACACTACTAAATGAAAGCAAAATATTTGCACTCTACTATACAACATAAACCGAGTTAGAATATGAAAAGGGTTGAAAAGGTCTTTTGTACACTTCAAATGTTGTCAGTTATCTGTAAATAGATGAAACAAAAGTGCTCTCTTTTTAAATAAACTATATGTATTTCATATTATTAATTGCTGAAATTATAAAGTCAACACTATTCATTCAGTAGCATACTGGATAAAAATTTTGTCATTCCTTAATTCAATATTATATTTATAAGGATGTACAGTACTTGCAGGTGTTCCTAAAATCAAAGTTTTTTCCTATGTCAGAGCTACTGAACAAACTAATTCTTTGAGATGTTTTATCTAATTCGTGTAGTCTTAGTCGTTCTCATTCAAACATATCATAACATATGCTGAATGACCTGATTTTGCAAATGTGCATCTCTAAAGACAGTGTAATTTCTCTTACCAATTTAAACTTTGTCATTACAAATTTCATGAGAAAGTTTAAATTGGTATGAGAAATTATGTACCAAAGTTGAGATTGTTATTGAAATCTTTGCATTTAGGAACTCAGCAAATACAGGGTCTTCCAAAAATAATGCTATAATTTTACATTACAGTGGGTGATTGGTTAATGAACATAACCTGTTCCAAGATTTTATTTGCTATCCGAATAACACCAATTATCAATTTACAGTGGAACCCCGGTTAACGAACAACCTGGTTAACGACCAAATCGGTTAACGAACTTTTATTTTGCAAAAAATTTGTCTCGGATAACGAACGTAACGGTATTTTGTGTCAAATTTTAGTTGGTGTTAGGCATGCGCGAGTTAAGCATTGCTTTTCCGAGTGTTTGTGCTAATGCTTTTTTCAGTTTTGTGATTTATATATTTAATCAATATGGCATCCAAGAAAGAAAAGTCATAGTGGCAATAGAAAACGACAACGCAATATAAACGACAATGCGCTATCGCATTTGAGAACAATTTTGATTAAAATAGTAAGACAATCAACTTTAGATCAATTTCTTGTTCCTTATGGAAAGAGTTTGTTAAGTTATGGCAACGCAACACATGGGCGATCTGCCTAGGGAAATGCCTTCTGGGAGGTGTTTTTAAGGGAAACTGGCCCCTATTTAGGCATTACAGACGTGGAGAAAACCCTGAAAACTCCACATGGCCAGCCCGTCTGAGCGAGGTGCGAACCCACGAACGAACTCCCCGTGTTTAAGGTACGAAGACCACTTAGCCACTGGTGGTTTTTTTTACCGAAAGAGACTTCGACTCGAAGAATCTTTCAATGAAATGCTACCCGTTGTTTTTTGGAGGGGATTCCCCTTCTAAGCATTAAGGTTCGTATATCTCCACTTTTCTGCCACCACCTACAACAAACAAAGGTACTACAGTGCTAGTTTATTAAACAAAGTTTACATGTTTGTTGCTGTAATGATACATACTACGTTTTCTTACATTTTCATCAAAGAAAATTACTGTATATTACAAATAAAATCACAAAAATTTCGGAGACTAGAACGGATTAATTGCATTTGCATTAATTTCTATGGGAAAAATTGCTTCGGTTAACAAACGGAGTCGCGGAACAGATTAAGTTCGTTAACCGGGGTTCCACTGTACCATAGATTTTTATGGAAATTTGATTAATTTGTTCTGAAAACCCCAAAAAATAAATAAAAAATTATATACTTTCTTACTGTGTTTATTTATATGAAATCCGGAATTGTTACCGATTTTACGATTAATGTCCCGTATTTTCCTAAAACCCCAATTAAGTTTTTATTTAAATCCTAAGCTAAACCCTAACTTAAAAACAGGAAAAATTCCAATCTCCCCTTTTGTTCAAAGTAAACATCCGTCCACTTCGAAAATAATCCCACATTCCAACTCCAAAGTTGATAGTTAGCATGGTTCCAGGGACAACTTTGACCCCTCCGCATACCTTTTACCGCGCAACAATTGGTCACATGACCATTCTCCCATGACAAAACTATAAAAGCCACTTGCTTCCCCCCTCGAGAGTCGTTCATCAACCGGCTAGTGTCCAGCAATTGCCGTTTTTTTTAATATTGTGTCCTTCCAATATTGTGCATTGTTTCTGAACCTGTTGGATAATATAAAATATTTCTCGAGGATAACTACAGACATAAAGAGGTATGGAACAAATTTTTGTGAACTCTCTCGGTCTCTTCGCGCCTTAGGGACGTAGAAAGTGTCCTCTAAACTATCCATTGTACCCCCACATATAGAATTAATAAATTGTTGTTCTTTTGTTACAATCTGTTTCCTCGTTTACTCGTATATCGTCTATCGCTTTACCGACGGCACTCCTTCCTTCTCCACTCGACCCGAACAATTAAATCCCGTTACCGCAGGATAAGTAAAAGAAACATTTAAGCCATCTTGACAGTGAGCAGGTTTAACGACCTGTCGCTGGAAAGGGAGACCTCCAACCTCCCCGGCGGTTCACATTTACATGTAATAAGAAACTAAAAGCAATATCTCCATTTTTGGTACATCTTTGTTTCTTAGATGTGATTTTCATTATTCCTTTTGCTGCTCGAGTCTTCTTGATTATATCTTTCTTAGTTAAGATTGTGCCTACTGTAGACCTGTTCAAGTCATACTGCCTAGCACCATCAGACATATTCTGTCCACTCTCTACCTTGGCTATTATCTCTTGTTTGGTTTCTAACGTGAGCACGGTTCTTGACACTCCACTCTTTTTAGGCTTCATAATATTATCAATGTCTTTTTGAACTAAAAAGTTCAGAAAAGCACCCACAAAAATTCAGTGAACAGAAATCAACTAGTGCACCACGTAACTGTGAGGCGCGAATGAAATTCAAAATTTTGATGTTAAACTGTTAACAAATATTTGATAGGACAGTTAAACTCTCACCTTTAGAAAATAAAAGCTGACACAAAACTTAACGAGTGCCCAACAGTCTCGCAAAGACTATAAAAAATTATTTGTCAGAAAGATAAACAAAGAGCTGGAATTACAATGGAGAGTTTCAAAGTTTGGAGGAACAATATCTGATTGGTATCAGGTTGAGTGACTCCTGTGCTCCGAAAGGTTTTGAATTGTTACCTGTAGACAAGGGAAAACCAATTAGTACTCATTATTTTAATTTGCTTCTTTTTGTGTTCTGTGAAGTCTTCATTATCTCAACATGGGTTCATTGTCCAAACATAAAATCTTTTGCGAAACTGTTTGTTATCGAATTTGTTCGCTGTCTGAACTGTTTGTTAACCAATCACTCACTGTATTGTAATTATCTGAGAACATTGTAATGTACATTAAAACATTGGAAACCATTGAAGTTTTGCATTTGTCCATTATAATTTCTCAATGTGTGTACTTTGTGTCACATGGTACACATCTAACTGACACTCAAATTCTTTCTATGCTTGCTATGGCATAGCCATTGCCATTCTTCTCACAGCAACTACAGTTTTATTGCTCCACAGCTATAGATTACTCATATTGCACAATAACAAGTGATTCCAACTTTTCAAATTGCAGAACACAAAATGACTTCTCTATTGTAAAGTTGCCATTTTTGTTTATACCATTTCTTAGAGGAAGTAAACAACAAGATATTTGAATGCAGATGAGAGATGAAACTTGGACATTTACTGTCTTGATTGGTGTATATCAAATACTTCTTGAATAATAATTAGCATAATTACAATAATTTAAAATAGTAGCATTCATTTTGGAAGACCTTGTATATGTTTAAGTTAATTTCTTAAAAGCACATTTGTTCAGAAAGTTGAAAAAAAGTTTATTTATGTGAATTCTCATATGTATCCTTTGTTTCTGTTAATATCAACAGAATATCTCATTTAAATTTTTATTTTGTGTTAATCAAGTTTCAGCTTTTTTGAATGCTCAGTTAATTTCATTCAATATATCAAAAGATACATACAATTAATTTACAAGTTTATTATATTTGATTGCTGCTATTAACATAATTTGGATTTAACTGACTTGTGAGCTTTATATTAATTATAAATAATAAATAATACATATATAGACATATGTCATTAAAATTATATTTTTTTTAAAAATATTATAGTGAAAATTGGTGGGGTCTGCTAGTAAAATATAAAAATAATAGCAGAACAAACTCAATTCTTTCAAAAGTTAAAGGGCAATATTTTTGAAAATCTTTTACATCAAATAACACCACTAAAACCTTTAAATTATACCAGCAAATATAATTTAATTTAAATATGTTACGACAAACATTTTTAATCTCCTTAGGATCTGCATCAAGTCAAAAAATGTTTGTTATAATTAGAATGCTAAACATTCGAATTTAAATATTTTAAAATCATCTTTGACCTGATGCAGTTCACAAGGGAATCAAAAACATTTGTCGTAACATATTTAAATTAAATTATATTTGCTGGTATAGTTTAAAGGTTTTTAATGGTGTTATTTAATAGTCTATTACCAGCTTTAGAAGAAGAAATTCAGAAGTCCTGTACATCATTTCATTTGCCTAAAAGCAAGTAAATGGTGTGATTTTTAGGCTGTCTTCATGCCTATACAAAGTAATACATCTCCTCTATGCAAGCACTAGTCAGATTAACAAGAGTCTAGTGTAACTAAAATGCTTCTATGCATTTTATATAATGTATAATATAAATAATATATGATTTAATGATTAGTACTGATAAAATATGCACTGGGTTGCAGCAAACATATGTCTTATTTAATTACTAGTATTAAAATCTGGTATAGGTAGATTACATTTTTACCTTAGAAGTAATTTTATTAATTTTCCATTGCAGATGAAATAGAAACTCCAAACATAATAGCCATTACTGAGACCATTACTACTAATGGGAATAAAACAAGGCCTCTCATTAAGAAAAGTTCAGTTGTACAACCAAAGAAAACAGGTAATGCCAATTTTTTTTAAATTGTAATGAAGAATTGTGACAATAATTTAATAAAATTTGAATTTTTATTCTTAACATAATTTTTCTTCTTTGTTAGGAATTGTTACAGTAGTGGACGAATCGACTGTCTCAATCAAATTTGTCCAGTGGCTGGCGAGTGTTACAGAACGTATCAACCAGACCATGCACTATCAGTTTGATGGTTTGTTAATTAAAATATCTAAATGTGGTAACTTTTACTAATACAATAAGCACTTATCTGAGTTTCAAATATTTAAAATTTATCATCAGGGCATCCTGAACCACTGGTCTTTCATGTCCCTCAAGTATTTTTTGATTGTCTGCAGCAACGAATTGCCACAGGAGTTAAGAAAAAACGTCTACCAAATTCAACGACAGCCTTTGTCAGAAAAGATGCCCTGCCACTAGGGACGTTCTCAAAATACAGTTGGCACATCACCAACATATTGCACGTGAAGCAAATATTTGATACTCCAGAAGTAATAATAATTTGTTTTAAATTTAATGTGTTGTTTTTGATAATTTAACACCCATCTATTGTAATTAGATGCCTTTGGACATAACGCGCAGTTTCATAGAAAATCGAGATGGAACATACGACCTGTATCAGCCACCGAAAGATAAGGTAGATGAATTGGCAGAAAATTATAAGAAAACTGAAAAAACTTTGCTTATCAAACCTTCAGAATTAAAAACATATCTGAAAGTTGGTAAGGTTTTACAAAACTTATTTACATTTTTTGTGTAATTGAGTTGAAGAATAATAATTTTCATTACATGTGTATTTTTGTTTTATTAAAAAATTTGATATTGCAGAATATATTAGGGTTGAAAACTGGTTCTCAAAATTTGGATTTAACACAGTTTTGAATATTACTTATGGAACTAGAAACCAGTTATCAAACTCAGTTCTATAAAAATAAAGTTATGATTAGTTTTTGTTTTTATTAGTTATTCCTTAAAAGGAAAAATAATGCAAACTATAAACTGATTGTCTATTTAATATATTCATTTAATTTCAAAGGAAATAAATAGTAAAATTATCCTTTTCAAAGTAAAAAAATTAATCTATTTCTATTTTATTAAAAGGTCACTAATTTTGTTTCAGCTTGTATATAATTATTCTGTAAGTATGTTTTTTGATAAATACCATATTTGCTGGCATATAAAACACACCCCATTTGCCAAAGGCATTTAAATGAAAATTTGTTTGGTAACAATGTTAAATATAGAGAGAGTAGTAACCTTACATATGCTGCTCAGAGGGATTCTTCCTTTCTCTTCTTTCTATCTCCTTATTCTCCTTTTCCTCTCTCTCATCCTTCTTCTACTAGCTAAACACTTTTTGTATGACTGTTCTCTTTTATTAAGTAATTTCTAATCTACATTATTGAAAAATAAAGTACTGTAATTTTTATATAACTGGTGTGTAAAATGTATTTAGGTACAAAAACAAAGAATATTCAAGCACAAACAACAACGTTGTAATTACTATGTACTTCTTAAATAAAAATAAATTATATATATATATATATATATATATGTGTTTGCCAGTGNACCACAACTACAATTACAATTTCTCTAATTTTCATAAAAATCTGTATTGTGGCAAGAAGTTCGCAGAAATTCCCTCCTATGTATTGCACAACCCAGATTCGCGAAACAAACTGTACCGCATTATTAATCCCTTTTTGCCTCTTTGTCCTTATTGTTTTACATTTCTGTGTATATATTGTCTACTTGAATCTAGTTTATTAATAGGACTTACTATATAGACGAAGTTTCTGATTAGCAAAGAAAGATCTTAGACCAGAAAATAATTTGTTTTGTCTTTTGACTAAGAAGTCTCTTTGCTAATCAGATACTACACCAGTATAAGAAGTCCTATTAATAAACAAAGTCCAAGTAAACAATATATACACAGAAATATAAAAAGTAAGGACAAAGAGGTAAAAACAATTACATAATATTTTTGTGATTAGCTAATAATCATATTTATTTTAAATATATACACAGAAATATAAAAAGTAAGGACAAAGAGGTAAAAACAATTACATAATATTTTTGTGATTAGCTAATAATCATATTTATTTTAAATAGACACTTTCCTTCTGTTGATTATAAAATTAATTTCTTTATTGTTTTACTTTTTAAAATAAAATTTAACTTTACAAAACCAAAGTATAGAATAAAAGTTTTGAGTTAACTGTGAATTTGAATTCACCCTTTTCATAAATGTTAATAAATGTTTCCTTGTAAATAAAATTATTTTCTCTATTAATGAAGAGGATATTGCCTATTAATTATGTGAATAGAAAATAGTCTTTTTTTTTATGCCATTTGAACCAGTTTTCCCTGATTTTAAGTCATGATTCTTTTCTGGAACCAGTTTTGTAGTTTTTGGTTTTTTTACAACTCTAGTATATACACACTGTATATAAATCTAAATATATAAAATTACTTGTCCTGACTGACTGACTGACTAAGTGATTGATTGATTCATCATCACCAAGAGCAAACCGCTGAACCTAAAGCGGTGGAATTTGGTACATAGTTAGGGTAGGTCATGAAAACGCACACTAAGAAGGGGTTTTTCGAAATTCCCCCGCGGGGGAGGGGGAAAGGATTAAGGCTTTACCTTTTGTTTTTTTGTTTTTAATTACGTTTAGTCTTTATTGAGTACTTAGGTGTATTAAACTGATAACATTTCAGACATTGTTATAAATATTTTTATATATTTCGATTTTTTAACCAAATGTTCAAATCATTTTAAATTCAAATTTGTTATTGCGTATTGGTTCGATTATAGAACGATCATAAACGTTCCAGAAAATTGATCAAATTGAAAACAGTTTGTTTGATTCTCAGCAATTCTCATCATTCTCAGTGGTAGGTGTTATATAAGAATTACTATGGTTGTTGAAATACTGAATATAAATGGGGTTTGCATGCAAAATCCATGCATGTGAAGTCGCAGGTAACAGCTAGTACAGCATAAAAACATAATTTGAATAATTATCAATATAAACATACAACAAATACATACTACAGGCCGATTGTTTCTTTCAAATATTGAAATTACTTGATTAAAAAATTAAAATCGTTGCTAATTATTAATCTTAGCACAAGATGATGACTTAATCTTTAAGCCACTCTCTCCATAATTAGGTTAATTGTAACCCAAACATAATCTAGCTCCTTTGTATGATCTCTATCCATTGGGCTAAATGGACTATAGCCTAGGGACACCATTGATCTGAAAGTGTTTAATTACAAAATATGTTGAAATTTTTTGTTTTTTTGATTTTGGATACAAAAGTCTTTAATTTGAAATGCCATCAAAATTAAACAAAAATATTAGGATTTTTATACAGCTAACTAAGCAAATCATTAATATTTTCAAAAACATTTTAAATCTTGACAATATTTTGATTGCTTTTCTAAATAAAAGAATTTACATTTACTCTAAAAATTGCCAACAAAATATACAATTTCGTTTTTACTGTACCACTGGCATTTTATTATGTACAGTAGATGTGTTTATACTAAAAAAAAAAGCATAGTCTGCAGTCTGTGTACTTAAGTAGTGCATTTATTTTACTATTATCCTCATTCAGTATTATTATTGTTTATGGTTTTTCCCTTGTTAATATTTTGAATTATGTTCACCTTTATGAATATATTGTGGTAGGTGTTTTTTAAGTTTTTTTCTATTGTGTGTATTTTTATAAATATAAATGACCTTTTATATTTATAATACTGTTGAATTAAATAAAAATGGGCAATTTTGATATACAGTGGGTGATCGGTTAACAAACATAATCTGTTCTAGACTTTGTTCACTATCCGAATTGTTCGTTAATCGATTATCGGTTTACCATAGGTTTTTATGGGAATTTGATTAATTTGTTCTAAAGATCCCAAAAAATAAAAAATATATACTTTCTTACTACATTTATTTATATGTAATAATAAAAATACATACATACACAGTCTTGCATTTTTATTAGACATGTTTTTTCCATTTGTGGGGTTAAAGAATCTGTCTAATGTTGATTGCTTTTCTCTCTTCTTCAAGATTTTTCAGAAGTAATTAAGAGCATTGTAATTGTAGAGATCCCCAAGCCTATTAATCTCAACCTGGTTTGGATGCCATTCTAAGACCATTGTTCTGACATCCTCCCACTTCTTCAAAAGATCTTTAACCCTGGGCTAGTGCAGTGGGGTGTTTCGCCACTCCCAACGTTTTAAAAGTTGCACTATTCATAGATTACGCAAAAAATATTTGTGTCCTCTTCAGTAGCTTCATGATTTTATGTATAGAGCATGCTCAGAAATTACTATGATGCTGCAGAAATTCCAGTAAGAGAAAAACAAGAGTTTTCAGTGGGGTGTCCAGACACCCCACAGTATTAATTACGTTTTTTTTTAAATTTTACAAATATTTATTTAGTTTTTTTTATTATAAAAATAACTATAATGTGACCACATTTATTATTTATAATATAGATATAATAATCGATGTGAATAAAAATAATTTAAGTTTATTTTAATTCAAAATGGCTGACTTTCATAAACACACTGAGAAAATACCAAACATAGCAAGTTTCTTGTCATTTGCAATGAGTGCCAAAGTACAATGTCAGCTATTGAATCAGAGTGACAAAAATGCTTAAAAAACAATTTGGATTTTTACTATTGGTTTAATAATAAGATCTAATGTAATGAGTTTTGATAAATGTTGTTTTTTATTTTCATGGATTTATGCACTAATATAATATGTAATCATACCTGAATATAATCATATGTAGAATGACACGTCTTTACCAAATAAATGAGTAAATTTTTATGAATTTTTACTTACATGGTTTATGGACCCAAAAAAATGTCGGGGTGGACAAACGCCCCACTGCACTAATGCCGAAAAAAAACTCAGTGCACTAACGCAGGGTTAATAGCAGATATCGGCATTAATCCTCTTTTTCAAAAGAAAACATATCTTGCCAAGTTTCTTGGTGTTCTTCATTCAAGCGTTCTTGTCATTCTTCTGTTGTCGGATCAGTTTCAGTTTCCATTCTTCAATGCTCTTTATTTTTCAGATGTGATTTTTGTTACTCCTTTAGCTGCTTGAATCTTCTTGATAATGCAGTATCTTTCTTAGATAAGATTGAACTGCAACCTACTGTAGACCTGTTCAAGCCATACTGCCCAGCAACATCAGACATCTTCTACCCACTCTCTACCTTTGTTATTATACTCTCACCTTTTGAAAATAAAAACCAACACAAAACTTAGAGTGCCTGCCCAACAGTCTTGCGAATACTATAAAAGAATTGTTTCTGTCAGAAAAATAAAAGGCTGGAATTACAAGGGAGAGTTTTAAAGTTCAGAGGAATACTATTCGATCAGTATATAGCGGATTGAGCATCGATGTTGATTTCTCCTGCGCTCTGAAAAGTTTTGAATTGTTGCCCAAAGACAAGGGAAGACCAATTGGAATTCATTATTTTGCATTGCTTCTTCTTGTGTTTGTTATCTGAACATAAAAATCTTTTGCAAAAGTGTTTGTTATCCAATTTGTTCGTTAACTGATCACCCACTGTATTTTAAAATAAAATTTTTTGGAATGAAAGCTATTTAATTAATTATATGTATTATTTAATTATTGTTCAATCCAATGTGATTAAGCCCAGGGCATTCAAACTTGTTAAGATGGCCCTGGCTCTTTGATATCTTGCTATTGAATAATTATCTTTACATAACTTTAACACTTATTAATGCCAAATTACACTGATAATTTGAAGTTACTGTTACAGATTTGAAAGTCAAAATAATCTATATGTAACTTTTTATGAAATTTGTTTACATTTTTATGTCTTGAATGATTTAGAAAATTATGTTGACTATATTATACAACAAGACAGTTCCATGAATGAATGAACCGAACATATTCACTCCTGTCTAGAAAATAACCATTAATTTGGCTGTATCTCAGGAACTACTGATCAGAACAGTGTGAAACTTAATGTACAAGCAGATCATTGTATTCTTTATGCAAATTAAAGAACAAAAATTTAATCTAAATTGTGTCAAACAAAAGCAATAAGAAAAGGCATTGTCATAAATCTTTTTGTACAGAAAATAATTAATATAGTATGTGGTTGCCTCCTGCTTGCATGCAGCTGAACAGTGATTCCTAGTACTGGTTTATAACATCTTTCAGCTGTTGTGGGCAATGTCCATTCTTGAACGAGAATGTCCTGGAGTATTGTTCTTTGTAGAAGCTGACAAGATTCAACTTGTCTCCTTAGAGCATTCCAGACATTCTATGGGATTTAGGTCTAACTGGCCTTTTTTTGAAGTGAATACCTTGACTGTCAAGAAGGTTATTAATGCGTGTAGCACTGTGTGTAGATATTATTGTCCATAAAAAAATGAAATTTGTATTCACAGCATCTCAAAAAAGTCTCAAGTTTGATTCCAAAAACTCATCTCTATGCATTAATATCATCTTCATAAAAACATGGAGCTCAATGTGGCCATTAAAACATAATGCTGCCCCAGAATACACTACCATTACATTCAAACTGGTCTGTTTCCTTGATTATGAGTACTGGGGTTTTCTGCTCTTCAGATTCTAATCCAACAAGAATCATACGGTAGACCAGTGTTTCTCAAAGTGGGCGATAACGCCCCCTTGCAGGCGCTGGAGGCTTTCAGGGGAGCAGTATAAGGCTCAGTGATTAAATATTAGTTTTATTTCTTCTCATTGAAACATTCTTTGATCTCAGAAATAGGATATGGGTCATACCCTATCTATCCTATCCATATAATAATGCATGTTTAAACATTATATTTGCAATAACTGTTTTTAAGATATGCAATAGATAGTCATGTAAAAAGGTAAGTTAAAAATATGGGGGCACTAGATTTCTTTTAATCTCAAAGTGAGCGGTGGTCGAAATAAGTTTGAGAACCTGTGTGATAGACCGATGTCTGTATAGTGATGTCATGAATGGCTTTTTAATGGACTTTTTTAAGTTGGTTTGTATATCCCTATGCTTAAGGCATGATATTGGCAATACTGAGAATGACCAGTCTGATAGCAAAAACTTCTTGCACGACCTGATGAGTGGCAACAGAAATTGTACATTGCCTTCTGCACTGAGCCAGTCCTAGTCATAACACAAAAATATTGTAGCTTTCTGTAACTATGGCAACTGTTAAAACACAATTTTGTTGTACCGTCATCTGTGTACATAGTTTAAACAGATGATGCCAGGTGGTGAAGAATGGATCCCAACATATTTGGAACCTATTATCCAGAAAAATTCTTGAGGTTACTTGTCCAGATTTAATTCCAGATCAGTAGGCTGACACCTTAACTACATTAGCCATTAAATTTAATAATTTAGCAATTATTCTTAATGATATTTGGTTTGTATTGTGGAATAAGACAACGCAACATCAAGATGATGTCAAGGAGGACTTTCTATAGGAAATTGGCCCCTAGTTAAGCTTAGAAACACACAGAAAACCCAGAGCTCCATGTAGTTAGCCCATTGGCCAGATGCAAACTGGGACAATACCAGTGTTTGGTAGTATAATCCACTCAGCCACACTGGTGGACACACAATCTATTATCAATATGTATATGATGTATGAAATAAATGTACAGTACAGGTACATACAGTCAGTGATAAAATGATAAGCTCACTTGATTTTTCCACACATTTTTGTTTTATTTGCAGACACATTCCTTTTCTCTATCTATCACCAAACTGGACAGTACAGTAATACAGAACATACTAGAAAATATTTTTATTAATGCTGTTAATTTCATAATAGGAGTGATTTAAGATATGGTATTTTTACCGATATGTTTTGTGCCACAGTTCTGTAGAAAATCAACACTATGCCACTCCATGTGTTTTTTGGTGCTGTTTGCTTCCTTTAACAACTTTCATATCATTTGAAGATGTAGAATATGAAAATGTAAAGTTCTGATATACTTTCAGAACTTTACATTTTCATATTCTACATCTTCAAATGTGATGAAACTCCCCCTACTAACATTAATGCCATGCACTCAAACATAAAGCAATAAATATTATGAAATAGTTTTCTAGTTTATTGAATGTCAGATATAAGTAATAAACAGGGCACTTGAAAAAGGCCAACGACCATAATGTCTTTTGAGATTAAACACAGAATACTATTGTAATATACTATGGTACTGATACAATTTCTATATTTCCTATTTCCAGGCACCATGTCAACGGACCAGAAAGAACCGACTCCATTCATCATAGAGTGGATTCCCGACATCTTGCCAAAGTCTCAGATTGGAGAGCTGCGCATCACGTTTGAATACGGCCACCAGCGCAACGGTCACATGGAACAACGCACCATACCTCAACACATTATCCAAATCCAGCAGGTGTAATCCAAACATTTTGGTAACCTATCAGACATGCCAAAAATGTACATAGATCATGATATAGCCATTACTATCATTCCCTTTCATTTGTGTTGTGACAACATGAATTGTAGATATTCGTTATGTATTATGAAAGTTTACCGTAGTTCTAGTTATATCATAGTCCGAGTCCCGAAGGTGGTGTAATACTCGAAAGTCACTTATTCTTGTACAAATGTCGATATTTAGGTTCCTTAGAATCTCGTACGTAGTCTGACATTCCCCGTTCCGACTCGTCGTGTGGCGACGATGGTGTTTAAATTAAGAGTTGTGCCATCCCGCTTGTTGATCAATAGGCTTATTTCCTTTTTAACGTGGTTTTTTTAAGACGTTAACCCGACGAAACTGGAATACCGAGCAGAGACGTGCCTTCTAAAACAGATTCTGCACTAACTATCGAGAGACCTCAGTTCAAAACTAAATCTTTCGTTGTTACTAGTTTAGATTGTTTTATTTAAATCTTCACGAAGATTGACGATTATTCTAGATCTATGTACAGTGAAATTTTATAAAATTATATTGTTATTAATAAAAATTATTTGAGGAAAAAATATCGTAGATGATGACGATTTACGACACACACGTTTTGCTTTAAATTTTAAATTTATTAATTATAAAATAAACTTTCAAATAATAAGTAATAACGATAATAATAAAATTTGATTGTGAGCATAAGTGAAAATAATGCACTTAATTCTGCACATTATTCACGTAAAACATGAGCTATTCAACAATATGAACGTCGTGCATTCATCCGAAAATAAATAATTTCTTTATTTTTTGGTCAATACTGAGCTTCTATGGCAGGAATGTTCAGGATAATATGAATTCCTTTTGTTTAATATACTATGTCAGGAATAATTTTTTATATCTATATTTATATTCTTATATACATATACACACATTTATATTCTAAATGATAAAAATATAAATTACCATAAAATGAACACCGTCAATATACAAATCTATTGTTTATATACAATGCAAAACGAAACACAATCAACTTAAACTATCACAATTCATCACGACATACAAATCAATATTTTTATTTACAACACCGATAGGATGGATTATATGATTTGATCTATTTATAGTCTACTAACAATCAATTTTATGACACAAGCTTTAAAACATCGTACTATTTAGTTACAGGTGCCAACTAGAGGTGGTTTTTGTTTTGAGTTTACATTTGTGTTAACTCAAAATGTATTGTTAAAATGTATTTTCTTGTTTTATTTGAGTGCTAAAATGTGTTTCTGATACAGATTTAAAATTGTTTTGGATCCAAAATGTCCGATTTATTTTTTTAGCATTTGTTCAATTTACTCTCATTCATTTTAAAAATCTGATTTAAAATATTTGTAACACTCCTCTAATTGTTGGCATCTATACGCAAGTGCAATAAATAGCTATATAACACACAGTGTTTAACTTATCCCCATCATTGACAGGAACACAAAGTGCAGCAGAGCTTACTACACAATAACAGCAATGGGTTAAATAGAGATTGATTTAAGTTTTTTTTTTGTTTGTTTGTTTGTTTCTTTCTTCTTTGTTTTTAACTTGGTTTACATTCCACGTCTCCTTCTTTGCTTGCCTTCATCCTTTTCAACTGTTCCTGAACGGCCTTCTCCATTTCCAAAATTGCTGGAGGTTTTTCATACTGTAAGATATAAAAATGCAATTAGTGCAGTTGAAGTAATCGCAATGCAGTAAATAAATTACTTTTTAAATTCATTATGTGGGAGACAAAGATACAACAGATAGAATTATGCACACGTTTTATTTACAGAAACTTACGGTAATGACGAGAGTATTATTTCCATGAGAATAAGACAATCTTCTTGCTTCTAGTGGCAGCTTTGCCCTATCTAAGTCGGGAATGTTGAACTTTTTGTAATACCTACTCAAAAAGATTTACACAAAATATTATCGTCACATAATCTCTTCGCAAAGAAAGAAATGAGAAAATATGCTTTATGGTTGGCTCACTTCTTATTAGTTGTACCGACGATAATGTGGCGGGTTGCTTCGTCCACCTTGATCTGGTAGACCGAATATGGATATGGTAAGTTACGTATGCGCCACTGGAAACCTACTGGAGTATCCTTCCTGACCCACACAGGCTAGAGAAAAGGCAATTTTGTTTTATAACATCATTAAAAAACAGTAAAGAATGTTAATACTGTATATAAAACATCACTTAATATTGTTACATTAGAAATGTTTTCTCTAAACCCTTCGCTCTCCAGTTTCCACTCTCGACATTCTCGATCTCCTTCGGGATCGCCGACTTCTACCTCCCATCGACCGATGGAGCCAAGAGACGATTTCTGTCTCCACTTTCTTGCTATATGTTAAATATTACAGGTAAAGTACAAGTAATAAATATTACAGGTACAAAATCCAAATTCAAAATGTGCATTTGATTACCTATTAAAGCATTTGTTTTCAAGTCATATTCCTCAGCCATTTCTTTACCGTCGGGAAACATGTAATGAACCCTTCGTCTTCCTAAAAATGCAAAATGCATTAATTACAATGAGTGTAACATAATAAAAATGAATATATAAAGCAAAACTGCATTTATGATCATTGTTATAAGAATTTTTATAATTTGTAAAGTGCATTTATTATGCTAAATTGACCAAAACTAATTTCTTGAAGTGAGTCTATTGTTTTAGATTTTTACATTTAATTATAATGAGCTTCTTTATGTTTACACAAAATTTAAAACAACTAAGGAATATCATGGCTCCAATTCTTATAAAATCATTAGATAAAATCTTCCAAGCATTTTATCCACAAATCAAATCAGATAACAATGGAGAGAACTGGTAAACTAGGTTTTGTAATTGCCTCACCTAGGCAATCACACCAATGTATTTCTCTGGGGAACCAAAGATCAAATCCAAGTGAGCAACTCTCGAAGAATTTTTCAGACAGTCCTTCCCAGATATGTTGGACTCTGGTGGCCATTATTGCAGAACTGTTTGAACCCACAATGGAAATGGAAAGAAGGCCTTTTTAGTGCCCATGGGACAAAAAGAGTTAAAAGATGGAAAATAATAGCAAACATTAGTTTGTAATTTTAAAGGACATCCAATAATTTGTAATTTAATTAAATTATTTGATCACTTTCTATCATCTTTTATCCTCCCTGACAATATTGTGCATGCAGAACACGAAGCAACAACATCTAGTTATTGATATGATGACAATTTGCATCTCTGGATCGGTGACCAGATTGAATTATCGATTCCATTTCTAGTCTAAATGCTACCCGACTTTTATTGGCATGAAAACTGAAATAAACAATTTGATAAAAGAATTTCTTCCATCTAGGGACCAGCAATACTATATTTGGTAATTTTCTCACTCCCATACATTAATTTTTAGTGTTCATCAGAAATTGTTCATTAGAACAGTACTATAGTTAATAATATGTGGAATTTCTCGAGTAAACAGTCAGCCAGAGGATCATATAATAAGATAGCAGATCTCTCATAGCAGTATGCTTTGTAGGTGCTCTAGATTCTCACCATTTTTCAAGTACAGTTTGGATTAAAACATTTGTTCTCTCTCTCTCTTCTTGCTTACTCAAACTATAAACCAGAATTATCAATAATTTGCAAAATTGTGACTCACCACATATATTTAATCAGGGTTGTGGAGTTGGAGTCAGTAAAAACAGAACACCTTGAACTCCAATAAATTTAAATTGTAATATAAATAGTGTGTTAAAATTTTTAGTTTATAGATAATTATTTATATATCATTATAGGATTTAAATAATAAATTAAGGATTTGGAGTTGGAGATACTGTACTGGTACCATAAATTGAAGAGTTAAGGCATTTGTGTACAGACTCCCTATCCGTATATTTAATATACAGACACTTTATGCTCACCAATCAATCCGTCATAATTAAATAAAAATAATAATAGAATAATGCCTTTCCATTTAATACATACTCACTTTCTGTGAGAAAGGGCACTATAACTCTCCTAATAAACCATAAATAATTATAAAACAGCTGCTTTATTCCTTGTCAATTCATGCTGTTAAAACATGCATAATTATATATAAGCCACATATACTGTACTTTGTTTTGACTCTACTCACTGGGCACTAAGCCTTTTTATCAAGCTCATTGTGGGTTTGGCCAGGCCTACTACAATGAGGTAGCCAGATGATGAAGGAAACCCCTGAAAAATTCCTGGAATTTTTTTGACCTATTTGGATTTGTTCCGGGTCTCCAGAGCCTACTCCTTAACTGCTTTTTTTCCTGCCATCAAGCTCCAATTGCAAATCCTGCTATGACTGAATGGGGCTCATCTCAATTCTCTGTCCTTCATATACAGTGTTCCTCCTGAACCTCCCTGGTTTTGTGGATTAATTTTAGGAAATATTTAGACAATCATAATAGAAAGTGCATCTGAAAAAAATACTACGTTAAATGAGTATATTTCTAATTGCACTCTTGATGTTGCATATAGGCATATGTGATATCAAACATTTATATATAAATATGTAAAATAAATATAAATACTTATATATAAATATATAAAATATAAATATGTACTTGATTTTGATCCATGTCAAAGCTAGCCATAGTATTACAAGAACACTGCATACAAGAATCAGGCGTGATTCTTGTATGCAGGGCTTTCATGTCTAGCACTTCTATGACATATATGTGATCCTTTGCATATCCACAATGAAAAAGTTCAAAGGGCTTCAAGAAATGGAGCTACGCCAACCAATTCAATGATCTAAACTGTTTGGCAGCAACAGCCTTTTAAGTGCACACACACACAAAACTCGGAATATTGACAAACGTTCTCCAACACATTTCATTTACTTACTCGAACAAATGGATTTTATAAAACAGTTTTAAAACTACGCAGGTTTGACGGGGACATCTCCGGTAACCGTAAATTCATAAGGCTTATTTAAATTCTGCCCCTGATATCGGGATACCACAAATCAAGAAGAGAGACAGATTCTATGCCAGATACGTACGTAAAAGGACTATACACGATACAAACGCAGATCCAAACGAGACGATTAAACCATATCGGAGCAGAAAGACTATGCCCACGGGAGTAAAATAGTCAGAGGAACCGACAATCGTGACCGTGAGATAAGTCCCCAAAATCATCTTATCAGAAATTTTGGACCCTCAAATGGGGTAAAATTTAAAACTCAGAAATCCCAAAACTATTTCCCAAAACAATGCCAAAAATTGACCATTTTCCACTTTACTAGAGATGGCTAATAGCTCCTAACACACAAGAAACATCACCGCACAGTCTACTTTCAGAGTATATGATATACGCTACAACGGTGGTCCGCGGTCAGCCCCGTACGGCGATGGACCACAGACCACGATGGTCTTAGCGGTCTGCAGCACGAGAAGCATCAAGAACCACCACACTACACCACTATTCCTTGCGAAGGGTCAAAGATTATCAGTTCTTTTGACTTTCTTACTATGTAGGATAGTCTACAGCTCTGATAAGGTCCCAATCGCTTCATTCAGAGCTGCATTTTTATCCTGCAGACATAATTTATTGCATAGAAAAAGCATTTAATAATCAATAATTTGGTTAGAATTACTCGTAAGTCAATTTATTATTTACGTATATAAAGTACCTAAAAGTAACTTCTACCAAAAATCCCGCCAATGGGTACGTAATTGATAAGCAATAAAATGATTGGAAGAAATTTAAATAACTTCACATCGTCTTACAACACGTTTCAAAATATATTTTAAACACAAATTTTATATAAAATATGTAATTATTAACGATTATTTATTGTTTTATTGACAAAAATTACTAAAATAAGAAAAAAAACGAGCATTTGACGTTAGGCTTAATTGTCACATTTGATCTTATGAAATTTTTATACTTAGAAGTTCGTTAAGAGCGATTGAATCGTGACTTTTTCCATCTTTTAATATAAATTATTATTATTTATATAAATAACAACGTACCGTCTTGAATTAAACAAGTTTTTTCTGCTTTCTTAAGTTTATCCAACCATTCGGACGCCATATTGAAACGATTATATACAAAACTGCCGGATTGGCGTTGTAAACCGGCCTGCGAAGTAGCCAATTTAACTGTTTGGGCTATTGTTTTTTATTATACGTTACGTTAAACTAAAAAATTCGAAATCATAAATAAAATAAACCTAAAAAAATGTAAAAATGAATTTTTTTGTAATATTTTAAATTTTAATATATTACAATTAAACAGATTTCGATTGATGATTAAGGGATAAAATTATGAGTTTATTGCTTATAATTCAGATTCGTAATCATTTTACTAACTTTTAATTGCGATTTAATTATACAAATATGTCAATATCTCAATGCCAGATAATTATTTTGAAGCCGAACGATTACTGGATTAAATCGGGCTACATTAAACGTAAATAGTACGGTAATAGAGAGGTTGCGGCCGAAGTTTCATCTGTAAAACGCGAACGTCGAACGTCGAGCGCCTCTATCTTGTAGGCGGCGCTAGACGTTCGACGTTCGCGTTTTACACTTGAAAACTTCGGCCGCAACCTCGCTAATATCTAAATCAAATATATCTGGAAACGAAGGATCGTGCGGCGCATTTTCACGGTAAGTGGCAGTTAAAATCTCGCTTCTGACTGATTTTTTTCTTCTACAATTTTCTAAATTATTTAATAAATGTTACTTTAATTATTAAATATAAACAAATATGGCATTTAACGCCTACCTCTAGTCCCAAATTACTCGGTATCTAATAATTAGGAGTAGCGGTAATGTAGCTCGATTTAATTGCATCTGGTAATTTTGCTGCCCCGAAGCAAACTTATCGGGATGAACAAATTAAAGTAGAAATTTAATGGCAAATTTTTGAACACGTGCATTAGTTTTTACCGGTATATAATTTTAAAAATATAAGTGCCGATTATCGGATAACAATAGTAGTGTGAATGCTTAGAAGGTGTAAGACAAAGACAACCAAATTACGAGGTACGAACAGTTTATTAATTAACAGGATACCGATGCCCGTCACAGGGACGAATTTACAGATATAGTTACAAACAGGTCTCTGCTCTCGTTCAGTTTCTTACATAAATTTTGATCACGTGATCCTATTATAACTAAACTACTTATAACTAACCTTAACCTAATACTATGACTAATAGAAAGATGAAGGAAGAAGAAAAAGGAGTCTACCGGTAGTTAGCAACACGGGGTCCTGATCTGGGTGGTCGATCACTGTGGATGTCCGTTAACATCGGATTTTATACTGTGCCTTGGGTGTTCAATCTGCACCGAGGTATCTCTTCAGACTTTACCGGAACGAGTCTCTTGATTAGTTCTTGACTCTGTCCCCTTGGTTCTCTAGGCTCTCTCTCTGTCGACGTTGACTAACTTGCATTCCAGAGGAGTCGTCCACAACTTGCCTTCTCGGTGTCCAACCCAAAAGTGGTCGTCTTTCTCACCCTTTGTCTTAGAAAAAAAAACCTACGGGCAGGACCCCCTCCCTGTCCCTGTTGGCAAAACACCAATCAGGACCCACGAAATTCCCGCTCCTGTCAGGTGACAGGAAAGGGTTATTAGCAGAAGGAAGAAGGACGAAAGGAAAGAACAAAGGAATTCTAAATCTATATACAGTATTTACATAGACAAAAATGGCGGACAGCCACAGTAGTAAAGAAGAAGAGTTCGAGTGCGATTCGCATATTTAGGAATTCGTCGCGATTAATATAATGTAAGTATTAAAATAGTTCAAAAATTTTTTTAAAACAGAGGGTAATTATCAATCTGTTCCGGCTTTAGTGATTATAAATACATTCGAACTACACTTATAACAAGAAAGGAATTATTTATTCTCACTTTCATTATACAACTACTAAGTTATCTATGTAGCCGAAGAAATAATTAATTCCCGAGAATTGCTCGGCGTAGATAGAATTTTAGGAATTTAATGTTTGCTTTAAAGAAAATTTCAGATACAAATTTATCAATTTTACACTAATACGTATACAGTAAATTGGGACAAGATTGTAGAATACAGTGGTACCTCAGGTTACGAACGCCCCAGCATACGAAATTTTCAGGATACGACATGAAATTCGAACATATTTTTGCTCCACGATACGAACAAAAACTCACCATACGACGTTACATTAGTTCGCATTTTTCATTTGTTTTTCTTACTACAGTTATTTTTTT